ACTATATGGTCTCACTTCATGAATTTCACCATTGCCTCATCAGAATCAGCATCATATTGGAGGCTCAGTATTTCAAATATTTGTCATATGATGAAACTTTTTTTCCATATCCTCCATTAGACACTGCATCAAGAACATACCATTCTGGTGTTCCAAATTTCTTTCACTCAACACATTCCAAAATCTAGATGGAGGCTCAGTAACAGTAGAAGTAGAAGGTCTAGAAGTATAAAGCCTAGAAGTAGAAGCAGAAGGTGCACCTTGAACTCTATCTCTAGGTCGTCCATATATATCAACATTAGCCTTCCCAGTTGGCTTAAGTGGCTTCAACTACTCTTCCCAATGTTCAAACTTAACTCTAGAGTCTTTGCAAAGAGTAAATATCAAAGATGAAAATCCAAGACCTGAAGTCGTACTAGCTCTTGCAGATGAAATAATAGCATCATAAATACGAGCACCCACAGCTATAGGTTTTCTTTCTTGCATGCAGTAATTTAAAATAGCTCTTTCTCTAGTCACTTCACTTAGGTGATTCGAAGTAAGGAGGCAAGCAAAAATACAATGATGTCATGCCTTAGAAGTGGCATTGAGCTTGGGAGAAGAAAATTTTAACTTTTGATCATTTTGAATCTTCTAGGCTTTACGACCATCAGTCAAATACACCACAATCTGATCTAACTCTTCCTCAGATAGAATGAACTCTGAATACAAATAATCAATCTTAAGTGGCAGACCATATATCACTTTAATCCTCTCAGCAGTAAGCTCTAATCCTCTTCATCGAACAAACACTTCGTCATCATCTACTTCAGGTAAATTTGCATAAAATTTTTTAACCACAATGATGACGGAAACAACAGTAAAGTATCAAAAACTCTCTCATTGATGCGCCACAATGATATTCTCTATAGCTCCACCAGGTCGATAAAAATCTCGCTCTGCAATAAACTTTCTCAAAGAAGCAAATTCTTTATAGCAAATTTGTGCATTTACACTGACAAATTTGGCACTGTCATAGGATTCTTTTTTTCTTGCTCTCTTCATTTTAGGAGCCATCTAAAATAATTCTGAAGAAAAATTCTAACAAATATTAAAATCAAGAAAATAGGCTTCCTACAAGCTTTTTCAAGCTAACAAAGCTTATATCCATGGATTTTTCACCACTAAATCAAATTATTTTTTTTCATATTTTTGGTCTATACTCAATGCACAAAAAATTCATGATGAAATTGCAAAATAATTATGTTAAAATGTAGATCTAACCACCTTGAGAAGATAAAATCTGGTGTTTTTGAGCCAAGAAACTTGAAGATTTGAGCTCTATGAAGCACCCTAGGATTGATTTTCACAAAAACTAGAAAGGAGGAGCTTGGGCGTTAAAAATGGAGTGGGTTTAGTTTAAATTGTGAATAATTTGATTTGCGGCAGGTTCAGGTGAATCAACGCCTAGGCGCAGGTTTTTGCGTCTAGGCGCCATGTTGTGCGGGTGGTCTGGCTAGTTCTGGCGCCTAGCCGCCAGAACTAAAATTTTTCTTTCCTTGGGTTTTAAGTGTAACACAGTAAGACTAAGCCATTCAACCAAAATTTCTCATTAATTTAACATCATACCTCATGTCTATTATGTCCCCAACATCTTCTATTTTCCATTTTTCAATTCATAATTAATTCCAACATTCTAACATAGGGGCTTACACAAACATAGCTTTCATTAAACTTTCAAATGACAGTACAATATCACACACAAACACAATAATGCAAATTAGCACAAGAAAACTAACACACAATTAACAGCAAGCTAAAGTAGCACACGATATACCAAGAATATATGCATTTTTAGACTCATCTTTTATACTCATTTTCGATGATATTACGACAACGACTTTATATATGCTCAAAAATACAAGAATTTGATACTACTGCTAGAAGATTTAAATCCCTGGCAACGGCGCCAAAAACTTGACAACAGTTATAGATTCGATAAAGATGTGTATAAAATATTCAATAATTGCAAAGTCTTACTTATCAACGCAAGTATACGTATCGCTCAAGTAATACATGGCTCTAATGGAGTCCTGGATATCGATCCCACAGGGAGTAATATTAGAGGCTACGAACTTAAGATTTAGAAAATCAATACTTAATCATAACAACAACATAGTTCAAAAGTTCAAATTGCATATTTGTCACTAATAGGAAATTAAAATAAAAATGTAATTTTAATAAACTCTCAATCAAATAACTCTACTAATAATTCTAATGTGAAATTCAATATATAAGAAAACATCATTCTCCTTGTCAAGAAATTTAAGTGAATGGATAAATTGAATCGGTTCAAATTGTATTGTACCAAATATGAGACCAAATATGAGCATACATCAAATATGAGCATACATATTCTTTATCCTTTGGACCAGACATAAGGAACATTGACTAATCCTATGCTTGGTTACTGAATCTGCGGCTAGACTGGAAGGATATCAGCTCTCACTTTGGAGCTCCCACGTTCCCCTCGCTTGAGGGCTAACATCTACACTTCAGCACCCAAACGATAGAACCGAATTGAAGATTTTAGTCTGTCACTCTAAAATCTCCAATCCTACACCCGATAATTTTATTTCCCTGTTTATTTGCACCCAACTTCCAAGGACTTTGACCTCCCTGAATCTTGGATGTAATCTTCATTTTAGTTGTAAAACTCAACATATTTTAACAAATCAATTGGCCAGATTGAATGTAAATTAAGATTAAAGTGAAAAGATCATCACAACTTCTTTAACATTCTCATGGTACAACCAATTCAAATCAACATTTCACAAAATCTCAAGACAAAGAGAAAGACAGAGAAAACTACTCATAACTCATAGAAAAGATACGACAAAACTTGGATTTCATATATAAAAGCAAAGTCATACAAACTACAATAAGTAAAAACTACTTATCTCCAATTCCTCCCCAAGTAACTCCTCGAAGTTCCTCTGAATCTCTTCCCTTCTTTACAACCCACAAAATTCTCCTTCGAAGCGGCAAGGAGGAAGAAATCTCTCACTTTCCTTCCACTCTTACAATCTCTCGAAGAATTACTCACAATAACTAACCCTAAATTACACTCCCCTGGACACCCGAAGACCTCTCGACACTCTCTGGACACTCTGGACTCTCCGGACTCCCTTTTTCGCCCTCCAAAATGTTTCTCTTAAAATTGTAGAAGAGTTTTAAGAGTTGCCTAAGTGTCTCTTAAAAAATCGTCCACATTCAATGCATCTATCGAGAGAACCGTCGTTCTCGCTGTCGGTGGCCTTGATGGCGCCGTTGGCGGCCTTCTAGACTATTTATTTCTGGACTCTCGTGAAAAACCTGTCGTCGGCGCCCAAGATCAAATCTTCATATTTTGGTACTTTTTGCTCGAAATTCGTTCCTTTTTGCATCTTTTTGCTCCAATGACCATAATTTGCCATCTTCATGGCTTTCCAGCTATTTGGCAATGATGCCAACAATATCAGCGCACATATCTCATCATCAAAATCAATTTCAACATACGACAATTGATTTATGATAGTATTGAAATCATTCAGGTGTTGAGCAACGGAAGCATCTTTCGCCATCTTCAGGTTGAATAATTTTTTAATCAAGTACTCCTTATTATTCGCTGATGGCTTTTCATACATACCTGATTAGACTGTCATGAGATTTGCAATCGTCTTCTCCTTGACAACGTTGTGGGTAATGAATCTCGATAGGGTCAATCGAATAACCCCCAGAACTTGTCGATCTAACTAATTCCATTCAACCTCATCCATTCTTTTCGGTCTTTTCCCCAATAACGGAAGATGAAGTTTCTTCCCATAGAAATTAGTCATCTATCTGCATCATCCAATAATAAAAATCTGTGTCATCAAACTTCTTTATCCCTGAAACATTCACTTCATCTGCAGCCATCATTCTTCCTCAGATCCGAACAAAGCTTTGATACCAGTTGTTGTGAACTAATATACCGGTTGTTGTGGTATATATGTAGAAATAAAATAGAAGAACGAACTTTGACAAAGCAAAAAATAAAACGAGAAAATTCACACTAGAAAATTGTAACACAACTGAACACAGATTTAACAAGGAACGAAGAGCAAATAGCTTTTGTAGGATAAAACAAAAAGCTAAGACACGTTTTTCTCTTTCCTTGCCTCCCTAATCATAAGGCCAAACACAAAATTCAAAGGAAAGTCAATTAATGCATAGTTAATAATCATGAATATAATTAATTTTTTAAAATTTAAAATTAAGTTATCCTTATTACAACTGTCACTATTAAGGATAAAAAAAATCAAGAAACTTAATATGCACATAAAAATATGTCAATTCAAATCTCAAAGATATCCAATATTCGACAAGCCAAATGATGTGGTTGGTTAGGGCCTACCAAGAGTAGCCCACAAGGCCGAACCAATTCGCTCGACTCATGACGGTCGGGCAACATCCATCTCCCGTGACAAATAGCAGTCACCAACCCGTCAAAAGGGTGCTTCGGTCTAAAGGGTGCTTCGGCCGCACGCTTTGTATGGCCTTAAGCACGGGATTTTGCCTGACAAACCAAATTGATAAAAGTGGTTTGTTCGAACTAGTCTATTGGCCACCAAAAAAAGGCCGCCAAAATACCCTGCAGGGTGCCTTCTCAGGCCCGGCCCTATTAATGCATGATTACCCAAAATACTCTCTACATACCCTACTTTATTAGGATTAGAGCGTAATTCAACCAACCTTTTACCTATAAATATGGAGCTCATTTTATAAATAAAAATTATACAATCCTACTATTCATTAATATGTTCTCTCTATTCTTTTTCTCTTCTACATTCTATTTCTTGGGTATTTCTCCAAGATAATTTCGGATTCAATAGAAGCCTTATAACCAGAAGCTAAAATAGCATTATATTTTGCAAGGGCAGCGTCTTCGCAGCCATTTCAGAAATATAAAAACAAAACAATCAATTAAGAGCATAGATCAATTAACAAAAAGCAAAACTATATAATAATTGTAAATTTTCAGTTCAAACTTCTCAGGAACCTACACAAAGTTTCATCAAGTACCAGACTCAATGAAAAATAATAATAATAAAAACACATTCCACCAGAGCAACAGCCATGACTCTCCCTACCAAGGTTTCAAGTCCCCCACCGGACCCGCAGTCCAGTTCAGCCTCAAATCCCCAATTTTCAAATAAATACTCTCATCATGCGGGAGCTTGCGAGCAAGCCCATTCAATACCTGATGAAAGGCATCACCAGCTTGAGCAGGCTGAGGGAACAACATGGCCTGCTTCATCGAAGGGTTGGCAAGCAGCCTCTGCTTTCTCAATATATCCTCCGCAGGAATGGATGTAAGGATAGTGTCTAGGCTTGGAACATCCTTCTCGGCGACGAACACGCCAATGTCTTCCCACGGGATGGCATCGGCGAACGGTAGCACAATGTCGTCTGCAATGATGACTGGAATGCAGCCAAAGATGACGGCTTCGACCAACCTCGGACTCCATGGCGCCCAGCCTAATGGGCAGAGGCAGAAGATGGCACGCTGCATGTCTTCGTAGTAGGTGGTTGGATGCTCCGTTGAGATATCAAAAAGGGGATTATCCTTGAAGTTCTCCCAAACTGATGCTCTCGCGCCCCTGCACGTGGTTCAAACTCAATTGTAAGATTCAGGATCTGTTTGGTAAATGGTAATGGATTCAAGTTGGATTTGACTTAAAGTTTCGTAAAAAGAAAGGTAATTTTAAATCCTGGATTTAGTAAAATTCAGTTTCTTCTCAATTCCACTCGTAATTCTCAGATTTATTGTCAGCAGAATTTAGTAAATTCGGATATACATGATTTATAAATTCAGATTTATGTAATTTACTGAAACTGCTATCAAAAAGTCTCACATGGCTCAAGACAAGGGGCTGCATCGTTGCCCGTGTTACGAGTGTAGTAATGTAAACCAAGTATTGAAATTTTTTAGCATGTTGTTGGATGTCAATCAACTACAATATAAAGTTATGATTAATTTGAAAGTTAGACTATAGTTCAAATCTGATGCATGTAAAAACCGACCGATTTGATAATTTCTAAATACATCTAGCCACCCATCACTGCTAGCAGCTGGCGGCGGCTGCAGCAGTTATGCCGCAACCTCGCCCACTGCCAGCCGTTGTTGGGCTTTATTTTATCATTATTTTACTTCAAATAAAAGGAAATCAAGAAATAGTATCCTGTGTCAATTTTACACCTAGCCAAACTTAAAAATATTTCAAACACTACATTTCAATTTCACTGCATTTCAAAAAATAATGTATTTATATTTCAATAAACCAAATGACCACTAAACTTAGAAGAATTGCATGCATGCCACTCAATTATTATATTATCTCGTACACGAAAATGTGTATGACACTTTCTTTAAGTTAAAATAGTGATATTTTTAATATGATATGAAATATTTGATTGGTATAAATATAAAAGTTAAATTTAGATGTTAGATATGTAAGTAGATATGTTTAAATGGCCCTAAAAAGTATGCACCTAATGCATGTAGCTAACACAACAAGAACCCATGGCCTTCAAATCTTTAGGCTCGCCAACGGGTTTCAAACTTTACAACTATCTAATTGAACTTTCGGTGTATTACCTCGCATAATAACCGCCCTCCGGATCATTCCCGACGTCATAAAACAAACCTCTGAAATACACAAAGATTGAGCGTGGAATGTCCGGAGGAATCAAGTGGGCTTGCATCTTCTGCGGTGGAGCATAAGGAGGGATGGTGATAGAATTCTCCTTCAAGCAAACATGATTCCTCTGCCCAAAAGTTTGAACCAATGTTGCACGCTGAAGCAAAGGAAGAATTCCTCTTTCAATGGCTTTCTCTTCCTAAAAATAATAATAAAAAAAATATGTTAAGGCAACACAGACCATAACAACCTAATGAAGGAAAAATTGCATTTCTAGAAGGCCTAGCAAGACGGCAAGTGATTTACATAAATCATTTTCATTATTTGCAAGGCTGTCTAAAAAAGCGTAGCTAGGGAATAACTCATGTTGGGCTTACTAAGCAGCTCATGTTTGATTCCTTTGTTAAGCAAGTGAGTTGAATACAAATAATTTTTTCAGTGTGATTTATAAATGAGTCAAACATAAACACTTTTAGTCAATTATGTTCAGCTCATTTTCACTCAAATTAGTTAAATAATTAATTTTTATAATAATTTTCTAATGATTTTTTATATTGTATTTATAAAAAAAAGTTAATTTTGCTATTTATTAAATAATTTGAGCTAATTTCGAGTTGAACTTGTTGAAACAAATCGACAGATCCAAATCGGGTAGAACACAAACATATTTATTCACGAGTCATTTCTAACATGAGCCTATTTCAAATAAAAAAAATTTAAACGAGCCAAACACGAACAAACATGAGGCTCGTTCAAGCTCGGTTCGATTACAGCCCTACTTACCTGATAGTGGAAGCATGCTCCAAAGTCATGAGGAACAATGAAGAAATGGTCGGCGCCTTCAGTTCTATTCCAGTAGGGCCAATTGGATGAGATCAATTGTATTGCACTTCTCATCATTCGTGGCGACTTGAAAGGCAAGGGGAGACCATTTGGTGTTAGATCACAGGTAGTATAAACAGGTGTGTAGAACCAATCCGCCTCCTCCGGGTTTAGAGTGCGGACTGGACTGGACATCAAGAAACGGTGCATGAAAATCTCGGCAGCAAACATGTGGGTGAGGCATCTTGGATCCTTCTGCAGTATCTTCTTATTGTATTTGCTGGGAAGCTCATATACAAACACCTTCAATCTTCCAACAGGGTCATCTTCAAGAACGTCACCAGCACTACCTGTATTTAAAGGATTAGTATTACTATACATGAATAAGCTGAGCCTCATTATGCTCTTAAGAAACTCAAAAAAGCAATGAAGCAGATTGTCTCGATGTCTATGCAGAAGTAAATTAACACCTTTGAATAATCTTAATAAGTTGAAAATTCTTTAATCTCGACATATCTCTGAATAATAAAATAAAAGAGTAATGATGTTGGTGAAATCAGTAAAACATAAGTATACCAACAGAGAGATAATCATACATCTATTCTCCCCTAATTAGAACTTATGATATGTCTATCGCAAAATTCTTTATGGCTAAGACAATCGTTCAAAATTCTTTTTTTTCTGAGCTGCAAGCGAAGGTATGTAAAATTCTTAATAAGTCAGAATATTCCTTAGTCTTCTTTGGTATTTATAAGAAATGACAGAGCTATATTCCGCTTATATTGTTTAAATATCATCAAAGTATCAAAGAGAGCTATTAAGGGGTATTGATTTAGCTTCTAATAAACCATGCCAAACTAATCCCGTAATTAGTCAGTTGCAGCGACGCCTTTCTCCTTGTCAATGGATAATATCTTTTTTTAGGTGGCAATTACATACATGCAACCCAAATCCTATGTATTTACATATATGACACCCAGACTTTACTTTTTAGATTTATACCACCCAAAACTATCATATCATATAAAAAATACCACTATCTTAACTTTTAAAAAGTGAAATACACCTTTTCATGCATAAGTAAAATCCAATATATGTAAAAGTTGAAGTTTAGTTGTCAGATATGTAAATACATAAGAATTGAGTGGTATGTATGTGATTTTTTCTAATATAAATTATAAAAATTAACTTTTCATTATGTGAAATACAACTGCTCATGCATAGAAGATTTACATACATATCACTCAATTTTTATGAATTTACACATCTAACACCGTATCTTGACTTTTTACATATATGCTACCTTACCTATACGTTAATGTGAGGTTAATATGGAGCAAACTTAATGACTATTGGTCATACTTGGCAAAGTAGGGCTTTTAGTTGCATCCTTACTGCACATGAAAACATGATTATCCATGATTGATAAGATTGGGAGTTTCAAGCCTTTGTTGAAGATAATGATTTTCGTGGCTTGTGTTTTATGCCTTCATTCACCTTATGTAATAATAAAGAGCATTTAAGAAAGATTTAAGATAGGTTTTAGTCAAACTGGACAGTTTTTTTATTTATTTTGCTTGGTTTATTTTTTACCAATGTGTTGTTGTTCATCTTTTCAATAAGTGACATCTGATCGTTGTAATCTTTTATTATATAATGGCGATGACAAACAATAAGATAAGAGACATTTTCAGTTTAAGAATGTGTGGCTTCAACTTTCTTCTTCATTGTAAATGATTGCTGAGACTAGGCACACCATATGTAAAAAGGAATCATAACAAGTAGCTATTTCAAAGACTTGCTCACATTAGTTACGTACTTAAGGGCTGAAGATATACTAATAATATTTGCAGCTCTAATGTGTTCAAAGTGAGGATGAGCATTGTTAAATAAAAATAAAAATAAAAAAAACAAATCGAATTTATTTAGTTGATTTGATCAGCTTGTTAAAGTATTGGTTCATGATTGTAATTTTAGCATTGAATTTTGATTATTAGTTTTATTTTTTTTTTATTTTCTTTGAAAAAATCAATTAAACAAACTAAATTATATTTATTCCACATTTCAAATTGTAAATTTTAGCAAATATTACTTGAAATTATTCTTAATACATGCTATACAAGCTAAAGATGATAAGAGTCATCATTAAATCTTATTACATATTCCTTAATCTAGAACAAAATCAAACTAACATAGCCAAAGTTTGGTTCCGCTCAATTTAACTTGAAAAAATAACTTGGCTTGTTGAATTTACTAGATTTTAGAACCGAAACAAACCGATTTAGCTAATTTATAAATGAAGCCAACAAAACCGACCAAATGCAGATGCCTACTCAAAACTCAAAAGTTACATTGTCGAAGTTAAGCGAGACTAGTTGCCATTTCAATAGGATTTCTACTCAGAAGTTTGAAGTTATGTGAAGGCCACAAAGAAGGGTAAAGGTTGAGAAGAATGTGGGAGAGGGGTGATGTTGCGGGGCTCTCCTAAATTGACGGTTGAACCACTGGACCAGTTCAAGAAGGGAGGCAAGGGGGATCGGTCAGCCGGCCCAATTGTTTAGGTTAGGGTCACTACCCAAATGCTCCTAGTTATATACTTTTATAAATAGATGTTATTTTATGTTTAGGAATAGTTTTTGCTGAGATATCTATTTGGGCAGTTGTTGGCGTCCCTTTTTTCCTTCAGGGTTGTATCTCACTACGAGAAGGTACTCTAGCTATACTCATCCCGAGGTGGTGTTTATCTTCCCCTATTTCATCACCTACTTCCCCTTTTCTGCTAGTTGCTGCTTCTCCAACCCTTCCAGATATGAACGTAATTCCCTCCAACCCCTTTCCAAATCAATTGCAATTTCTTCCAGCCCTTCAAGATATGCCATAATTCCCTCCAACCCCATTCCAGACCTTCTGCAACTCTCCCCAAACCTCCTAGACCATGCCGCAACTCCCTCCAAACAACACCCCTCTCCAAACTCTTCAACTATTGCAGCATCACCCCAATCAGTCAACACATCTGTAATCCAGTCGGTGTCTGCCCCTGTCGTTGTCACCTTAGAGGGACGTTTGTGTGTTTTGTCCTGTTTTATTCTTATTTTGAAGAATCTTCATTGTAACATTTGACTTTAAGAAATAATTCTTATATTTCTATTGTAGATTGGGTTAACTCCGGTATCATTTAATATGAGAGCTAGTTTAACCCTATTCTTATCTTACGTTTCTAACATCCACCATAAACCTATCTCCCCTAAAAATTTTCTTTCTTGTTCCCAAATCATAGCCCAAATTTGACCTAACTCTAATGCCCACTTGTTGATTTTTTCAAAATTAGCAACCTTAAATAGCATTTTTGCACCCGCAATCAATCTCATATACCCTCTCTCACGTCTCAAACATAAAGTCATGCCACTGAGGAGTCAATAGTCGAAATCCTAATCGAGGGAAAAGGACAAGATGCGTTTATGAAGAATTCACAAAGACGGGTTCAGAAGATTTTTTGGGAGTATGCAGTGGGATACCCGCTAATGACAATAGATGCTTGCCACTTTCGAGGGGAGACAATCCAGATGGGTCACCCGTAACCACAACGGTGACTTGCTAGATTAAAGGCATGGAGTAAATCTCTTCCACCATGCTGATTCTAGGGATGAAGAACCTCTGCCTCGAAGTTTTGACCTGCAAAAACTGAAAAGCCAGAATTTAGAAGTATAGGTGGACTTACTATATTTTGACGGTCACATGGATCCAGATGAGTTAATTGAGTGGCTCTGGACAATGGAATGCGTTTTTGAGTGCTAAGACATACTAGCCACCTACGATTTAAAAAAGAGTCCTTATTTTGAGAGCAAAATCTAAAGTCCATATGCCAACGAGAAGGAAAAGATAAAATTACTATGTCGTCCAAGATAAAATGAGAGATACAACGCCAATTCCTACCAACTCACTACAAACCGGATGTTTTGTCCCCAGTTTCAAAAGTGGAGAGATCACATCACCAGGAAACCACCACATCTTGCAGGCAAAGTTCAATCATAAGATCTTACAGCCGGAGTACACCCAAAAAAACATCCATGCTGACCCTATATGAGAATCTATTTTGGATAGGAGAACGGGTGGACCCAATCCGCATTTCTCAATCTATCCCAGCAAAGATGCCCTTCAAGTGCCACGGGTTTAGGTGTAGTGAATCAAATTGCACAACTAGAAGAGATTGCTTTCACTGATTAAGGAGAAGTTGAAGAAATATAAGGTGATCTGTGAGAAGATGAAGACATTAGAGAGGATTCTCAACTTTCAACCAACAAGGAAGAAACGACATCAATTCCAATTAACCATAGGAAACATATTCCAGCTAAGTTAACAGTAGGTGTTCTAGAAGTTTGTGACTCAGATGTAAGGCGTGTTCATGCAAAGTATGAATTTGTAGTGCCTCGAGCTACCATTTTGTAGGGGTTGAGAGGAGCATCAGCAGGATTGAACTTGGTTGTTCAAAAAGGCAAGACAACCTCAGATAAGAGAAATTCAGAGTTTTCAAATCTATAGACTCATTTCTGAGTTGCCCCTACTACGGAAGATCCCAAATGTCAAAAATGGGGCCCCTTAGTGTCACGTCTTGAAAATTAGATAAAATTATTCAGGTATTAGATTCAGTTCGACAATGTACCCACCATGAGACCAGAGGGATAAGCCCTAGCTTCGAAATCGGTCTTAGGATCTTAATGGGGAAAATTTTCTTCAATTGAATCCAAGTCTTATCAGTGAAGATGTGTCTCCTTAGTGGTTGCTAGTGAGAGTGGCACCGCCCATCAAAGTTTTCATCACAGATTACATCTCAGAGTTGATTTTTCCTCACATACTTCATTATCAGTTACATTCCGCTGAGTACGAGAAGTGAAAGGAGAAAATTTCAGACTTAAATGCCCGAGAGTTACCTTGTGGGAACTTACATCTATATGCAGCTCCAACTCAAGATTGTGTCAAAAGAGAATGCATATTTATTCTATCAAGAAATGTTGTTGAAAGTCAATGCCTATAAGATTGACTTACTAAGAGATTATGCCATTTTACCTATTCGCAATTAGGTCGACCTAAAGTCGTACTACGAGGAACCAGAAGCTTCGATGAATAAAGTTAAAGCTCCCCCAGCTCCGGGAGACTGACGTGGGGCTCTCCTGAATCATTAGACCAATTCAGGAAGGAAGGCAAGGGGAGCTAGCCAACCAAATTGTTTGGGTTAGGGTTGCCAACAAAATTCTCCTAGTTATCCATTATTATTTTCTGTTTAGGGTTAGTTTTTGTTGAGCTTTCTATTTGGAGAACCGTAGGCGTCTCCTTTTCCCTTCAAGGTTGTATC